CCCCAAAACCCCAAAACCCCAAAACCCCAAAACCCCATATCTCAATGAAAAAGTTGAAAAAGTGATCGATCGTGCTGAGACAAAGAGAATTCTTGTCACTAGAAAGAAAGCTCCTAAAAATGCCACACACATCATCAGAATCAAAGACAAAGAAATCGAGAATGCACAAAAGCAGACTGAAGCATATCAGATTGAAATCCAGAAATTACAGCACAAGATTGGCAAAATTAGCCAGGTTGGGAAAATGATTGAGATGGAACAAGAAGTCAGAGACCACAAAGCGGCCACCAATGAGCTCAAGAAAGAAATCAAAGACAAAGAATTACTCCTTGAAAATTTAGCCAAATCTGATGACCCAAGTTACAAGATCAAGAACATGATCAACGAGATCAGAATGTGGAAGGAGAAAATCCAGAGCAGAGCTCTACAAGAAGAACGAGAATAATGTTAATGGCCAGAGCGAAAGACTCCCTGAAGTTGAGAAGGAAAATGATGAACTCACGAGCCAAATACAACATCTGGATGCCAAAATAGATCTAGAAATTAGTAAGAAGAAGGACAAGAAAGCGAAGAAAGACCTAGAAGACATTGGTGAAAGTGTTAAGACCTCAAAAGAAAAATATGAGATGTGAAAGAAAAATAATGCAAAGGAAATCAGAGCCCAGCAGAAAAAGACTGATGAAGTTATTAAGGAAAGAGATGACTTGTACAGGAAGTTCAAAGAGTTGGAATAAGATAAATGAATTTCCAGCTTGAAGCTGAGAGAAGTAGCAAGAATGCTCAAGCATAACCAGCTAAATCCGATAATGCCAATTAAAACAAAGAATGGTCTGACGGCTAGGAGAGGAGAACCTGGAAAGAAGAGGACTTCAAACCAGCGTGGGTCAACAAGTAATCTCCATTCTGAAATTAGTTCAAAAGGAAAGTCTGTTTGAATGGAGAAAAGAAGCTGAGAAGAGATAAGAATAACCAGTCTACACAACTTCTTCACAAGCAGAAGCAATATTCCAAGTCTAATGATGATAGCGATGAAGATTTGGAAAAGAATCAAGCCATAGATTACTCAAAAATTAAGAGGAAAGCTTAAAATCTGGAAAACAGATTTATTTTATTTCTATCGTTGCTCCCAAAAAGGGGTTTTGGGGTTTTGGGGTTTTGGGGTTTTGGGG